CTACTTTCTGTCGTAAAATCGCCGTTCGACCAATGACATTCGCCATTTTATCCGACAACCTTTTTTGAAATAGATATATTYTAATGTGTTGCCAGTGTAGATCGTTTATTAGTGTCTAATAAACGATCTACTCTGGCATAATACATTCGTTAGTACAAGTTCTGACATATTGCCATAAATGAAACTTTTGAGAAAAAAAATATGTACTATTAATCACTCAGTTTCTTGTTTTTTTCGGATTTGATTTTGTAAACTTAAGGTTACTGCTCCCCTTCGCAGGTTGCTACTGTAAAAAATCATACCTTGGTTTTCATTAAATATTTCCTAAACATATTATAGATCGTTTATTGCAAGTAATTTTATACAAGTAGTTTATTCCATATTAATAATAAGAAATCGAGTTAATTTTTTTTTTAAATTAAATCGAAAAAAAAAGTATTATATTTTTTTATAAGTTTGTATGGTATCATGGTGACTATATATTGAACTTAAAAACTGTGTCGGCGTTTTGTGATATTTTTATTATTTGCGGAGTTTGCCATTTGAATTTAAAAGTACGAATTCTTAATGTGAAATTTGATATTTGACGCTATAACTTCAAAACGAAAATCTAAATCCAATCAAGCCGACAATGGCAACACAACTCGAAGATTGATTGTGTAGACGAATACGAAACGATAGATGAATCAAATTAAAATTACTTAAAAAATAAAATTTTCAGTAAACGATTTATGAATATAGGGTTTTTTTTCGTTAAATTKTTATTGCTTTAACTTCGTTTCTGGAWAAGTACGGGCGTGCGCCGGCGAGATAAATCCCAGTCTAGCCACAATTATGTAAAATTTGCGATCGTTGGATAAATGGTGCCATACCGCGCCTAGTATCGTTACATSTGGACTATACCGAAACGCAGATAAAATCACGGCAAGTGTCAAAAAGCAATAATAACAATCACGAAGTAAACACAACTTCGCCTTAACGCCAATCAACGATCGATATCTCGGGAGTTCAATTAAAACAAACAATAACTTCAACGAACAGCCAAATAGTAGCCGGTTTAAAAAGGCAAAAGGGACAATTTCTTAAAATACTTGAGTCTGTCTGAGAGAGAAATTTGTAATTTTGTACATTCTAGTTAAATCATAAGTGTGGTTKAAGTCATTTTAGTAATCAATCAGTAGATAACAAGAAACTGTCAATAGTCTCCTTCACGGTTACCTGCGCCATCTTGAAAGGTAACCGTGCCTTGTCATCGAAGCGAGACAACCGTTGAGCGTGCAATGATAGAAACCTTCTTTCACACCTATAGACAATTATTCACAGGTATCTATCATTGCACGCTCAACGGTTGTCTCGCTTCGGTGCAAAGGCACGGCTACCTTTCAAGATGGCGCAGGTATCCGTGAAGGAGACTATTAGTGAGTACGCAAGGAAATTTTGTGTTAGTATCTATAAACATCAGATGTGGAGCATGATTCATATTCTGTAAACCACGAGTTGTAAGTTTAATTCACATAGTGTTTGAACGTCAATGAATAAAGGAGTGCAACAAAGAATAAAGTCCCTTTGATTGCGAGCTGTGTAGAGCTGGAAAACTCTACGACAGAGTCTTCATTGTTTCATTTTAATATTTTAAAGTTAAAACTTGGGTTCTCGATAAGCACAGGCCAGCACCTTCGTACAATCATTTTCGAAACGAATTTGGAGGATCGGCCACAGTCTTCTCTGCTTGCTTCGACCTTTGTGACTGAACGGTACGACAAATCAAATTATAATTACGTACTTTACAAATAGAAATTTAAGTAAACGATTTATGAATACAGTTTTTTCCCTTTAAATCTAAATATTTTTAACTTCAATTCTTGACAACCAGGGATGAGCGCCTGCACTTAGTAGACAAGTCTAGCCGTAATTATAAAACATTGCTACGCGTTTCCGAGGGCTAGTGCCTTCGATTGTTATTTCAGAAGTCTGATGTTCGAGACTCAGAGGAGCTGGTATCAACTTCCGGTAATCACGACCCAAACAGTGCATGACTATAAATAGCACCCGATTTGAACCTTTTTGCTCATTTATTCAGAATTGTCTCTAAAATGTCGATTATTATCATTGGATTTATAAAAAGTAATATTTAAGCTTTAGGAAAATCTTATATATTTTGAAAAAGTATAAAAATAAGGGGGTCAAAATGCGATTTTCTGAACCAAGTTTGCATACTTTCACAGGACGTTTTGAACGCTTGTCACCACCTTGGGCAATACAACGTGTCCGTACTCCTTTATGCATGCCCATACTGTAATATTACCGCATCATTCRAAAAGAGCGGCAAATTTACTAGATTTTGATATATAATTTGCCTGTATTTTCAAACATTTTAAGGATTGAAAACACGATGAAAGCTCGAGCTATTTCATATTATTTTGCTGTTTGTCGTATATCTGTAGACGCCTTGGGAAGCTTTGAATATGGCCAAACATCAGGAGGAGAAGCTAGGGTTCTGTTCTTATAAATAACTGTTCTTGTACGACTTTTAGGGACTATTTAGGAATTTTTTATTTTCCTGGCAAAAATTCTTAGAAAGTATTCCTTGCCTGGAGAGTTATTTTTTCCTGAATTTCTAGCTGGCAAACAGTTGTGWCTTACAGCTGWCTGGGACATARGAACAACATGCGAATGTTCGGAAAATGATTCTCCTTCGTTCCAGTGCAATATCAACAAGTTAATATCAACAAATAATAATAAAAAATTCGATTCCTTTTTTACTCAAATATGTTGAGAAAATATAATTGTATTATTATTTACAGTTATCTTCTCTACACAAYCTCAAGAGAAAATAAGAGCGTTGGTGATTCGTATGTGCTRAAATGATAAATAMATTACCTTATYATGGACTTGATATTTTTGTTATTGTAAAATAAAAATAAAGAACTAGTAAGGCAGAAGAGAGAATTAGAAGAGACATTGGCAGTCTGGACGCTAAATAGARCAAATTTTCACAGTGGATGTGTTTCCTTCTTCTTGATTTCTCGTCTTTCCTTAAAGATTTCCCTTGCTTGTTTTTCGGCTTACCTCAKTTAGGACACCAATCTTCTTGAGCTAAGCGAATAACAACACAACCACTGTACCTTTGAAAAAGAAATCGCCCGTCCTACAAATAAATACGCAATAAATACGCGATAAATAACTCAAGAACWRGATCCCTTTGACTGTCAAATGACTCAAGTAAATATTTTCATTCAGCCAATTTGATTTCGATTAACCATTATTGCATGGTAATCAGGAGGAGCCGACCAGGTCTTCTAAATAACTTTTCTTACAGTGAATATACGGTACATGACTTAAATGTCTGTTCTTTCAGACAAAACTTCATATTCATTGCCTGTCAGCAAGTTTTAATACATCTTCACTTAAGCTACATTTTTTATGATCTACACAGTATTCTCTGTTTCTACTGTACTATACTGTTACATTGACTACCATCAAAGTGTCTACTTTCTTTTCGTTTTATTGGGTATGTGTCCATTCCAGGAAATCAAGAGTTAGCCTCCCTAACGTAGAAGGGACCATCCTGAAAATTTATCTCCACATCATCATTCTTCAATTTAATCTTCGCTGTGAATTGACCTTTGGTAGGTGCKGTCAGGGCCCAGGAAACTGTTTGTACGCCCCTAGATAAACTTATGTCCTTATAATTATCAGAGTAGTCGTTGTGCCTGTCGCCWCCGAAATTGGTTACAAGTTTCATTCGAAACTTCATTGGCTGGGTGTTGGCGTAGCCAATGGAAGCTGTATATCGAAACTCTTTACCAACTTCGGGGGAAAACCARGGCTTAACGAGAGACGTTATGACTGCAATCTTGGGTTGAATGACGTATGACTCTCTTGTAAAGTCGAACCCTGATAGAGTTTTACCACGCATGGGTATTGTGAAATGTTCTTCTGAAAGTGGAGCCTTCGATTCGTAAGTGTAGAAATCGTTGTTTTGAGACAGGAGTATCCAGTCATTGGGAAGAGACAAGGTATTTTTATCCAACCTGGATATGTTTGGAACTTCAATTTCGACTTTAGCTTTCTCTCCTAAGTTAGGAAAAAAAATAATCCAGTTTAATCTAGCTCTACATATAAAGCAGCATATTACTGGCATTTATTTAACCCGTCAAAAGTGAYATCTCACGATATTTTCAATGAGAGAGATAGAAGACCTATTTCCAAATAACTAGAGACTAGTCGAGGTATAGATGCCACTCTTCGCTGTCATACATATGTAGATCAACATTTGGGTAGCCAGTCACAAAAAAAAATCAGATAGGGAGATGTCTTTCACTAGCTAACCTATAAAAAACAATCTCGCGAGAATCAATAAATGACGAAATGAAAAACACATAACCAACCTATCAAAGGATGATCTATATGGGTTGCACTCCTCATGAATCTCCAATGCAAGGTGATATCCAACTTTGATTGTGACTTAACCTGGATGTAAACACACGAGACGGAATTAGCTATTATAATTAGATTCTCTGGACATAACATGGGTCCTTCAATAATTGACGTCCAATGCCGTCATCAATGCATGACTCTAATATATAACTTGTGCGCTGTATTAACATCTTCTGCAAATTAACTGGTTACTGATGCAACTGGAAGTTGTTTTGAAATCAATTTGTATGATGCAACATACTTTGTGTATTTCTGTTTTAAACCGTTTAGGACTGTTCAAAATCTCTTAGTCTGTGTTCATACCTGATCGATCGCGACCGAACTACTTTTTAGTTCGATCTAAAATTAATATAGACCGGTTCTGTTCACATTAATTCTAATTAGACCGGTTTAAATCGAATTATACCGATCGTAATCGGTTTCAGCGTTCAAGCTACATACACAATGACTGAAAGGGCCTTTCTTTGGACAGCGGAGACTTTATCAAGAGCATTACATGAATTTCGAATCCTCAGTTCAATCTGTCGCGACTGTCGCTATTTCGTATTTCAGTTAAGAATTCGGGACGTAAACTGACACAAATCACACGAATGGATGCTTACTAGTAAATCATTGTTACTTTACTATACGTATGCGAGCAACTGCTTGATGGAGCAATACAACAATTGTGTGGTTTTTGGCATTTTCCCTTTTGTTTCTTTTATTTTGGCGACTATATCCTCTCTTCGGGGAATCATTTAAATGGGCTTGAATTTTTTCATCCGCCCATGAATCTATTAAAATGCTGGTTCCTTTGAAACCCCACGTTTCTCCTCGCTTGGCCATAACAAAAAAAAATCTAAAAAACCAACAACTACAAATACTCAAAGGCTGTCGTAGAAATAGGATAAAAATAATTTAAGAAATGCATGGGAACTATCAAGTGTCCGGTAAATACATGGACAAAATTTGGAGACATTCATGCGTATTATATATTTGTTTGTAACTCACGGTTTGAAATCCGGCAGTGCATTGGACCAATCATCGGCGAGTCCTCATATTTGTGTTGTACTACTATGTCAAAACCACATTTCACTTTGCATGCCAAACCAAACCAAAATTGATTGGGTTCGAATCCCAGCGTTGTCGCAAATCACTTTTCCAAATTAATTTTTCAGTTTCTTTTGATTTAAATAACGTCATTATAACGCACTATAATTTTTCATTATTCACCTTGTTCACTAAAATCGAAGAGATCATATACAGATTTTTAATCACCAAAAATACTTAAGAACCTTTTAAATATATAGGCATTGATCAAGTTATAGGAGCAATTTTAGTGAGGCACTGTTACTTGGTTCATGAGCATGATGCTCTGGCCTTTCCACTAGTGCTGAAACTGTATGTTGCTTATATTTGGAGAAACGTCCTGGTATACTTGCAAACGTATAAAGTCCAGAGCTAGTATACATGCGTTGTTGTTGTTTTTTTTTTTTTTTCATTGTCAATACCCGGTGAGGGTGTCCAAACGTACCAAGACACACTTATCAGAATGTAATGGTTAAGGTAATGAATGTAATGAAGGAATGTAATGCCCATTTACAAGCTCTTGATTTTGTAAATGATTTAGGAATAAAAATGTCGTCCAAAGAAAAGAAGACTTTAAACAAATGAAGTACCTGAAAATCCAAATTGGTAGCTTGAGAACTAAACCTCCATGTTCCTCTTGACGGTCTAAGAATTGTCCAGAATAAGCTGCCACTGTCCGCTTTCTCAGGATATATTTTGACATTTTTGGGATTAAGCAGATCTGCCACAGTACCTTTAACTTCAACTTCAAGTGTCCCCTCATGCGCGATATCATCGATATAAAAGCCTTTGTCATATACTTTAATTTCTCGTTTTCTGTTGTTTTTATCACTTGCAACGATTGCAGTACCGTCAAGACTTCCTTTTATCATTCGTCGTAGACGTTCCATGGATGAACCCTTTTTGAATGTTAGAACTAAACCCCCGGTAGCCTCTGCTATTACCCTGTAAGAGCCCATTGTTTTTGGCCCGCAAAATGGCTTGGATAGGAAAAAGTTGACAGGAATCATATTTTTCTGTGCATGGTATATGGCGTTATCTGCGGTAAAATCTCTTAACGCTTTTGGAGGTGCGTCAGTAAATACATACATAGGAGAACCACGTTGTGGATGGCCATTGGTGATCGCTCTGATAATCCCGGTGTACGTTGGTTCTTGACAGTCTTCATTTTTCTCTCTAGGATACTCACGTTTGGCAAGTTTGTCCAGGGCATTTATGAATTTCTTGCGGTCATCGAAGTTTGTAACGTCACCAACGAACGTCTTACTTCCGCGTCCTGAGAAAGAATGATTATCAACAGCACACTTAGCGTTTATAAAAAAATTGTTTCTGACTCACAGCGAGCTGGGCAAAAACGTAACAAGAGCATGTGAAAAGAAATGAGTTTCGATTGAAATAAGGAATGTACGATCTTTCAAGTTCCAATCCGTATTCGGCTCTTGCTAAGCTTGCCTAAAATAAAAGACCTGCTAGATCATTTTTAACCTTACCATCTACCTTGCTTCCTCCGCGTTCTGAAAAAGAAATATAATAAATGGTTGTTTCTGATTCACAGCGAGAATGGGCGGTAACTTCACAAGGCATGGGAAACTTCGGGATTCAACGGAAATCAAATCTATGGCCTCTGCGATGCCGATGCAGTAGTCTTTTGACTATGAAGTTAATTATGTTGTTGATTTATCATTTCATTGGGTAAAAGAATGGATGAAAAGCACACTCGTCAACATAGTGACAACATATGGCATGAACGAAAAGAACTAAAAAAAACTAGAGAACCAGTGTCTGTCTAAGCTAAGGATTGGACTCCACTCACACATTCCTAGCTTCCGAGCAATTTCTGGAGGTGACCCTCGTGACCACCCTAAGTAAATTTTAATACATGTCGCTTTGACAAAAGCTATTTGTAAGAATTTATATAAATAAATCTAGAAAAATAAAATGCATACTAGAAGAGAATGTTGACAGGATATAGTCTACATTGGCGATCGATGTATATCCAGCAATATTTTCAACAATCTTTGTAGCTTCAGGGATCTCTGATTTCATGCTTCCACTGATGTCGATTACAAAGGTTAAGGTAACTTTA